AATTTTAACTCATGAAAAATAGATAACCTGAATAGTCCTATAGCTATTAAAGAAATTAATCATCCAAAAATTTCGCATAAAGAGAATTCCAGCTCCAAATGTCTTCCCTGGCAAGTTCCACCCAATATTTAAGGAATAAGTAATACCAATTATATAGAGACTCTTCCAGCACATTGAAAGAATGTTTTCACCCCAGATCGAGACGAGGCGAGAATGTCCATTCTCACCGCTTCTGTCGAACTTTGTACAGGAAGATCTAGCCAATGCACTAAGAAAAAGAAATAAAGGCATCAAGATTAGAAAGGAAGAAGTTAAGCTTTGTTCACAGATAACATGATCATCTATATAGAAAATCCTATGAAATTTTAAAAATAAAACTAAAATTAGAAACTTTAGCAAGGTTGTGGAATATACGCTTAATATACAAAGAAAAAAAAATCTGGCCCTGGCTGGTTTGGCTCAGTGGTTAAAGCGTCGGCCTGCGGTCCTGAGAGACCCGGGTTCAGTTCCCACTAAGGGCGCATACTTCGGTTGCAGTTTGTCCCCGGCTCTGGTCAGTCGTGCGGGTGGCAGCCACTCGATGTGTTCCTTTCACATCGATGTTTCTCTCTCTCTCTCTGTTCCTCTCTCTCCCTCCCACTCTACCTGAACAAAAAATGTCCTTGGGTGAGGATTAAAAAAAAAAAAATTTGCTGTGTCAGGCTGGTGTGGCTCAGTGGATTTAGCATTGTCCCATGGATTGAAAGGTCATGCAGGAGGCGACCACTGGATGTGTCTCTCTCACATCGAATTTTCTCTCTCCTTCCCTTCCACTCTGTCTAAAATCAATGGAAAAATATCCTCATGTGAGGATTTTTTTTTTTCAATCCTCACCCAAGGACATGTTTGCTTCTATCTTCAAATGGGGGGCGGGGGGAGGACATCGATGTGAGAGAGACACATTGAGTGGTTGCCACCCATATGACCCCAACCGGGGCCGGGGACAAACTGCAACTGAGGTACGTGCCCCTAGCGGGAACCGAACCCAGGACTTTCCGTGGGTTCGTGAGCTGACACTCTAACTGCTGAGCCAAACTGGCCAGGGCTGAGGATTATTTTTTGTTTAAAGTGCATTCGTCAGCCCTGGCCAATTTGGCTCAGCAGTTAGAGCATCGGCCTGTGGGCCAGACAGTCCCGGGTTCGATCCCCGCTAAGGGCACACACCTCATTTGCAGTTTGTCCCCGGCCCCGATTGGGGTTGTGTGGATGGCGACCAGTTGATGTGCCTCTCTCACGTCGATGGTTCTCTCCCTCTCTTCCTCCCTCTCTCCCTCCCGTTCTATCTGAAGATAAATGCTAGGAATGCCCTCGGGCGAGGATAAAAATAAATACAGGGCCTTCGTCAGAAAGGGCGTGCTGGGGCCTGCTGCCGCGTGGGTGAACCCTGACACAGTGCACCAAGTGGAAGAAGCTGGAAGCACCAGTCTGTGATCCCACCCACAGTGGCTCCGGAACAGGAGCCTCCTCCAGACAGCAGATGAGTGGTTGCTCAGGGCTGGGGTGTGGTAGGGGTGGTGATAGCTAACGGGTACGGGGGTTTTCGTTTGGGAGGTTTTTTTGAGATGATGAAAAGATTCCCAAACTGTGACGATGGCTGCACAGCTCTGTGAATTGACTAAAAACCATAGACTTGTCCTCTCGAAGTGGGTGAATTGTACGGCGTGTGAACCGTATCTCAATAAAGCTGTGAAAAGTAAATACACTAGTCTGACCGGCCGGCTGACACACGCGTGTGTCTGCTGATGCTGAGGACCCTGGATCACCAAGTCCCGTCGCCGGGACATCGCGGTGACATTGAGCCTCACGAGGCAGACGTCTCTGGTCTCTGACGCCCACGCAATGCCCTCCCTCTCAGGCGGCCCACGCCGAACGCCAGCCGGACCCCGCGCTTCAGTGGGTCTGACCGGCCGACGGGCAGCTGTGCGAGTCCTGGCTCGCAGAGAGGAAGCGGCAGCAGGGGTCAGGCGGCCAGCCCGGCCTCACTCCGCAGTCAAGAGGCAGCCAAGAATAGCACAGGCTCCTCACTGCGCCGGATTGCTGTAAACACCCGGCCGCGCCGCCCCTCGCCTGTCCCACTCACAAGGCTCGGGCCAGTGCAGGGACAAGGGGGCGGGCCCTGCCCGGTCGGGAGCCGGCTGGCAGCTGCCGGGACCCGTGTCCCTTGTGTGGGTGTGCCTCTCTGGACACAGGCACAGGGATGGGGCTCATTTGCTCAGACGTGTTTTCATGCATTTAATAGTTTCCATCGGCTGGTGCCAACAGGGCCGCTGACGACTCCGTTCAGCATCGCTGGCCCCGCGGTTCGCTGGGAGAATCGGGGTGTGCGAGGGCTGGGTGGTGTCGCCGAAAAGGCAGTGACAGAGTGGGGTCACTAGATGTCTGTTTGAAGCCAGCCCAGCTCTGCAGCTTCCCAGCTGAGTGACCTTTAGCAAGTCCTTTGACCCTTTCTGAGGGTCTGTTTGCTCGTCTGTGACAGGGGAGCACACGCGCGACATGACCGATGGTCGCAGGAAAGGGCCGTGGCAGCGCCGGCCGCCCGCTGTGCCGGCTTCATCGCGTTCCGGCGATGCGGGCAGGTCGTCTCGGAAGAGTCGTGCACAGTGGCCCGTTGCTACCTGCAATGTTTGCCTTGCTCGAGGCTCAGACCCCCGCCAGGCAGAGGGCAGTTCCTGTGGAGCTACTAGGCAGGAGAGATGATGACCAAGAGCCAAATCCAGCAGAGGCGACAGGAAGAGCACCAGGAACTGAGTGCCACCCGCTTCTCCCCAGTAAGGGCTCTCCCTCTGGGATCAAGAGCGGTTTCCTATGGCCTCTAATGCTAACGGGCAGTGAGTCTGGCCAGAGTGGCGGCTGGGCTCCACCCAGAGTGACCCCAGGGGCAGGAGGCAGGCTGGGGCCATGGTGCACCTGCTTCTCCCGGACGTCCGGGGGCAGGTGGGCCGGCCCTGCCCACACAGCGGCCCGCCCAGGTCCGGGCTCCTGTGACAGCTGGCTCGAGTCCGGTGTCTGTTCCGTCCCAGCCTGGGACTTCTAAATTTAACCTGCTCTCTATCAGCTTGGGAGGCTGGAGAGCTTCACTGTGACCAAATGCCACCCGGAATCCACTCTCCTTGTAACACCCGCCCTGCGCACGCCCCTCCCTCCCAAATGTCACCCCACATGCAGCTGCCGCCCTCCCGCCCCGCTCAGCTGCAGGGCTGCGGGAGGGTGGATACCGAGCCCCGCTGGCCCTATCCTGCTGTGACCCGGCTCAGCTCTCCCTGCCGTTGGCTCCGTGCTCACACTCGCGCACACGCGTGTGTGTGCACACATCCCACAGTCTCCTGCGGGCAGAGCCCAGGAACCAACTCCACAACCAAAAGCCAAACCACGACAGTGAACTGCACCACCCATGGGCCATCTGGGCGGTTATGCAATTTCCTGCTGCGCTGTCTCAGACCCAGGAGGCAGGACGCAGACTGCCGTTGGTTTCCCGCAATGTGGGAAGCCCAGTCCGAGGCCCACAGTGACCGGGGTAATGCCGAGAGGCCACCGCCCACCCCGGCCCATGAGCCTGTGGTCGGCAGGTGACTGGCCCCGCCTCGAAGGGAGTGAGCCCAAGTCACTGTGGGCAGTGAGCACACACACACACTGCACACTTCCGGAAGTGGGGTGAGGGGAGAGCATTTCCTGCCCGGGAGCCCTGGATGGAGTGAGTCGAAGGCTAGGGCTGCTCAGTCACAGGCACTGGCGCCGAGCACAGATGTGTGCTCCCGTGTTTGGACCTGCCTCTTCCCAGATGCATAGCCTTGGACGGCTTCTCCCCTTCTGTCTCCCTCGGTTTCCTCATCTGTGAAATGGGGTTCTTGATAACGCACCGAGTTACACCTGGGAACTCAGACTGGCGTGTTCTCACTGCGTCAGCCACGAGGCGGCCATTCGGAGAACCCCATTTCCCATACAAGGTGACGGGCTCAGTGTCTCGCCCAAACTCCCGCAAATGGCCTGGAGTCCACGGCCCGCCCTGAGCCCACGCCCCCTCCAGGACCCCAGGCTCCCACCCCCTCCCCTTTCAGGAGAGTCTGAGTAGAAGACGATGAACTGGCGGGGCCCTGAGCCCACACAGCCCCATCAGCAGCTGCTGGCCAAGGGCAGCAGAGCCACGGCTGGGGAGACAGGTCTGCGGGGCCCATCAGTGCTGACCACTCTCCACGTGCGGTTCCGTCTGCCCAGTGCTGGCTCCGCCCGCGAGCCCGGCAGGGCGCTCTGGGTGGGGCCGGAGGCCGGAGGCGGCGGCATCCGCAGTGCCCTGCCCCTCCCAGGGTGCCCCTGGGCCCTGCATCCCGGGACCACAGGCTCCCAAAGCCCTTCACGGCCCTCAGCCAGAACCAGGGAGCCGTCAGCCCCACAATGAACCGCCACTTCAGAAACATCCAGACCCTGGCCAGGCCTACTTTAAAATTACTTTTATTTCTCTTTGTGAATAATTTTGTTTGTTTTAAAGGATCATTTGACATTTTCTTCAAGAGTCTTGTGCCTCCTGGTAAGCGCACTGGCTTGTTTTCACAGTACCCTCCACGACCACAGATGGTCCTTATTGCTGGATGAGTGTGTCCGCGGGGGGCCGGAGGGGTCAGCCCCGGCCAGAGCCTGGGCTGTGCTCCTGGCATGACGGGGAGGCCAAGGGACCAGACCCAGGCTAAGTCCAGCGTCCTTGGCCCACCTTGCGGCCTTTTGGGGTCTTCAAGGCCAAATGGGCAGAGAGAGGGCCGGGGGGTGGGTGAGCTTCGGGCCTGACCGTGTCCATCCCCTCCGAGTGGGCACCGCACACCCCTGCCGAGAGGCTCGCTCACATTCACAGAGTCCGAGCTGGGGACTGCCCCAGACAGCTCGGGACCACCTGCCATCCCCCGCCTCCACCCCACGAGAACCCCTTCGCTGTGCCCCAGCTTCCTGACCCCTCGCCAGGGCCCATTCCCCGTTGTAGTGCAAGAAAGACCTGAGTGCAGAGAAGGGCCACCACGTCACCCTCCCCTCCCGGCCCACCCAGTGGGGTGGGACCCAGTGCTCCACCTGGAGGCTGCGGCCTCTTTGGAGGCTGGGCTCCCACACACCAAGGGAACCGGCAGCTTCCAGGGGGAAGGTCCCGGGCCTGGGTCCCCAGGCACCAGGCGGCAGCCAGGGCTGTTCGGCGTCCAGTTGTCCCAGGAGAGCTGTGCGCCTGTGGAGTGGGGCTTGGGAGAGGGAGGGACGGTAAGCACCCCTGGGTTCAGTACAAGGTCACGTGGGTGACGGCGCGGAGCAGGGACCGGTGCCCACGCCCTCTCGTGTTTCCCTGGGGCCCCTACAAGTGGCTCATGTGCAGCAGAAATGGATTATTTTCCTACGTGACGGTTTTCTGTGCTTGGTTATTACTCGTGTGAATGCGGGGCCTGGGTGATAGAGCTATGGGTTTGGCAGGCTGGGAGGAAGGGGGTTTCGGGGGCGCCCCCACAGCCCCTGAGCGCAGCCTTCAGGGCAGATTTCGTTAAGGAAGCTCGGCGTCGCTCAGGACCAAGTCCTAGGGCTCCAGGGGCCCAGGGCTCCGGGGAGGGGGGCCCTCGAAGACTGACCACTGTCCCACACCAGCCCCCACAGTGGCCTGAAGGCTCACAACCCTGGGCCCACTCAGCCCCAGAGCCGGGCCCTCTTTCCTTCCTGGAGGACAGGCGGACCAGACCCAGGGAAGTCCTGGGGCCTCCTCCCGCCCCACCACCTCCAGCTCTGTGATGCTCCGGCTGTCCGCAGCCCTCCCCAGAGCCTGGGAGGGCTGCCCCCTGAGAAGGCGCCTGCAGGGAAAGGCGTGTCCTCACTGTCCCCTGGGAACTAGAACTAGGACTGGGTCAACGTGGCCACCCCCCAGGCATCTGGGACCACAGTGGAGGGAAACAGAAAGCGACACAATGAGACGTGAGGGCAGAGCCTCTGTGGACGGGTGTGAGGACAGATGAACATTCCGGGGCTCCACCTGCGACCCAGACCCTCCCTGTCTCCGAGACCCGCCCAGGGCAAGGTAAGGCTGCCAGGAGAGAGGAGAGGAGCCGCCCGGTGGACCTGGGGCCCGGTGGGGGGAGGGGCTCCTCTACCTGCGCCTGTCCGGGCAGCGCCCATCTGTGGTCGTTTCTGCCCAAACGCAAGGAGGAGCAGCTGGTTTTAGGTCTAAATCGGTGCCCCTGCCGAGTCCCGAGACAGCCGGGAGGAGGGGCCCGGGTAGTCTCCCTCCTCCCTGACCCAACCCTCCCTCCCCTCGGCAGAAGGTGAGAAGTTCCGCAGAAAAGAGACCCTGCTTTCTGTCTGTCTCGGCTTTTTTCCTTTCAATTCAGCTTAAGGCAAAAGTTTGGCAAAGCAAGTCTACGTAAGGCCGCGTGAGGGAGGACGGGGAGCGGCGTGGGAGGGCCCCGCACTCGCGGGTCAGCAAGGGTCAGCAAGAGCGGGGCTGTCCCCCGTCAACTCCTCCTCCTCCCGCCCTGAACCTCAGAAAGAGGTGTTTTAAAAAAAATCAAAGGACTGAAAAGCAGTTGTGTCGGGGAATCTGTTGCAGGTGAATGACTGAAATGGTGAGAAAGGCCAGGAGGGAGACCCCAGGGCACCCAGGGTGCACGCGGGGCTGGGCTGTCCTGGCCGGTCTCCCCCTCCCCGTGAGGAAACGGGTTCCATCCAGGGGCGGAGGCACCCGGCGTGTGCACAGTGACACCCCGCTGGACAAGGTAGAATGGTTGTATTTTGCTGGAGGATGGGCGTCCACCTGGGGCTGTCGGAGCGGTCTCGTCCCTGGGGTCTCAGCGAGCGGCACCCTGGCTGTCACCGGTGCTTCGGCGGGATGACGACCAGCGGCTGCCCGTACTTGGGCCGCCACATGAGGACCTGAGCGTCGTTGGCGTTGGGCTTGACCAGGGCGCTGGGTGGGATGGGCTCGTTCTTGCTCAGGATCTGGGGCTGGTCCTGGGCGATGGGCTCGCGCAGCCGGGCGCGCTGGCCCCGGGGCCGGCTGGGGTCCACCTCGATGCTGAGCTGCACGCGCCAGCGCAGCGTCTGCAGGATGATCATGTCGTTGGTCGAGGTGTTGGTGGCCACCAGCCACGTGGTGAAGCTCTGGTCCCGGTAGATGTTGGTCAGTCTGGCCACGTTGCTCTCGCTGACAGGCACGGCCCACGTGACGCTGGGGTAGAAGTTGTCGTTCATGCTGATGATGAACTTGGAGTCCCTCCTGGTGGGGCCCACGATGGTGCACGTCTCCGTGGTGTTGCCGTACCAGGGGTAGTTCACGCCGTCCGAGTCGCTGATGGCCTCAATCTTGCCGTCCTGGAGGTCCGGGAGCTCCCAGCTGGACCTGGGGACAGGAAGGCCTGTTACTCAGCCAGCCACCCACAGGGCTTTTCGGTGTCCCCTCTGTCCACGGGGCTTATCTCCCAGGGGGCCGGACAGGAAACACGTCAACGTCATGGTGGGTGAACTGGGCCCCCCCCCCCCACCCAAGCCATCCTGTTCTCTTGCATCATCTCAAATCAGTCTCCCCACTGAAATCGTTGCAGACGGGCTGGCCCCCGGCCGGGCTGTGGGCACCCCAGCTGCCTCTGCCCCTGCGGATGCATCACGGGGCGGGCCGGTGGTGCTGCGCCCAGCTGCTGGTAGACGGCCACAGGTGGCACTGGTTAAGGCAGAGGCCACGTGGCACATGGGCTGGGCTGGATGGGAATGCAGGTGGGCACGGCCCGCTGGCCTGCCCCAGCCCCAGGTGGCAATGAGTGTCTTTCTCTTGCTTTAAAGGCCAACAGGTGCCTTCAGAGCCCAGTGGCCATGGGTCAGCACATCTGGGAGTGATTCCCGGCCCCTCCACTGACCAGTGCGTGGGGCAAACACCTGCCCTGCCCCCACCTCCCCCCCAGCTTCATCGCCCTCCCTGGTGAAGGGGGTGCTTCCGGGGCTCCCGCCCAGCATGGGCCTGGGCATAGGAACCGGCACCCCCAGAGCCCTCTGCTTAGGGTCTGTCCCTCACCTCCATGTCTCCTCCACCACGTGGAAGTCCGGGCTCCCAGGCCCTCCCCGGGGCCACAGCCAGCACGTGAGGCTTCCGGGGGCTGCAATGCCCCTCCCCCCTCTCCCACTCTCCCCCTCTCCCCTTCTCTCTGCTCACGCCTGCCTAGAAGAGGAAGCACATGCGGGGGAACTGCCCTGCCTGGCGGGCCCGTCCCTGGAGTAGAACGAAGAAAACCTCACCAGCCCCGTCTGCAAGCACCGAGCTCGGCCCGCCGCTGGCCGGCCCTGCAGTGCCCTTTCGGGGTGCTCAGCAGCGGTGCTGGCTTTCCACAGCCACAGGCCCAGGGGCCTGGCCATCCGGGACGGGAGCCGGCAGCCGGGCTGTCCAGAGCTCGGACTTGGGAACCCCACTGGCCTGGCTTCAAGTCCCGCCTGCCCCACCTGGCATGAGACCCCGTGCAAGGACACACGTCCCTGCTGGGCCCCTGGAGGACGAAGACAGGAAGTGCCAGCCCAGGGCAGGGCACAAAGTGGATGCCTGTCGCTGGTGGCTGCTACCACCCGCGGCGTCACCATTGCTGCCGTGATATTAACTCAGAAGAGGATGCCGGCCTGTCCCCAGCTGCTCGGGGACACAGCTGTGTCTGGGGCGCCCACCCCTTAGACACCTCGGCACTGATGAGCACCCCACTGGGCGGATAAGTAGAACGAAGCCAGGGGTCTGGGGCTTTTCCCAGGGTGATTCAGCTGAGCCGCAGGGCCTGGGACCCGGGCAGCCTGGCTTGGTCCAGGGCTGCCTCCACCCGGGCCCATGATGCCAGCACCCAGGGCACCTGGCCCTCAGAGTGCTGAGCACCTGCACAGCCGGGTGCTCGTGGGGTCCGCCGCCTCACACATGTGCCCCCGTTCATCACAACAGCCCACGGGGGAGCCACCCCGTGTCCTTGACGGGTGATGGGCAAACACGTAGTCCATCTATGCGACGGAACATTATTCAGCCTCAAAAGGAAGGAGGTCCCACACCTGCTACAACACAGGTGCACCTGAGGACACGATGCTGAGACAGAGCCAGTGACCGAGTCAGCCACGGTGAGACTCCATGTGTGCGAGCTTCCTGCCGCGGTCGAATCAGACGGAGAGGAACGTGCGCACCAGGGGCTGGGGTTGGGGTTAACGGGGACAGTTTCCGTTCGGGGTGAAAGAGGCAGAGCCAAGTGGATGTGCCTGATGCCACGGAGCTTAAAAATGGCCCAAATGGTAAAGTACGTCTTATCACAGTTTTAAAAATGCTTCTATCGAAATGCACCATTTCATGTTAGCGGTTAGCAACACCAGGGCCACTACGCAAGGCGTGATCATCCACGCGATAGTGCTCATTTTTGTTTCTTTCATCCGTTTTTCTGTTTATTTTCTAGAAAACCACTAATTAGGATAACACCTGCCTAGCAGGCCATCCCTGCCCAGGGCCTTGAGTTCATCAAACTCAGACAGAACCTGGGCAGCAGCTCAAATGACCTCACGTTTGGAAAGTGCCTGCTGGTCCCCAAGACCCCGAGGCTCTTCCAGACCCACCGCCCGCAGCAGCCGCCCCCGTTTCAGAAGGAACCCACGCCGTCCTCCCCCCGTGGTCACCCTTACTTGCAAAAACATTTTAAAAGGCAGAAAGCAAACTTGCAAAAGCACGTTGGCTCTTCCTCGGCCCCCTTTCACATCCGAAGCTGGCTTATTTGGGGCGTGGGGCTCCGTACCAGAACAGCCTCCCTCCCTCCCCCTCCTCTCAGCCTCTGACCCCAAGCTCCTGGATGCCTCTCCTCCCCCAGCCCCAAAGGCCCAAGCCCCCGCTCAGTCACAGCCAGGCGAGGACCCTCATGAGCTGGCAGACAGCAGTGTCTCGTGGGGCACTGCTCAGAACCGGGGCCAAGAGCGTCTGTTTCCCCGGCATCACCAGCCACCCCGGCCCCGTGTTCCCATCGAGGAGGTGGGAGGGAGCCTGGCTGAGGGCACAGCTTCTGGGGGACACAGCAGCCCTGGATCCAGCCTGAGTCTGGCTACTGGCTCTGATCAAGTCCCCCATGTCTGAGTTAACGGCTCTCGTTGGTTAGCTACGGATCACCCGCCCCGCCTCGCGAGGTTCGGGGGTGAGGAAACGCACTGCTGTTTACTGCCTGGTACCCAGGGAAGAGCAATACGTGGAAACCGCTGGGACCACTCAGCAGTTAGGATTTGCCCGCTCTGATCGGACCTGAAGCCTTGGACCTCACTTGTGGTTTCGGGCACCACGTGCTCCGAAAGGTGTGGGTCCGGGCGGTTTCGCCGCCTCTAGGATTCCTGTTTGTTCTGGAATGACCTGGGACTTCAAGGCAGGCCCTCGGGTCTGTGCTCCCTGGGGTGGGGGTGAGCGTGGACCCCGGCCCTGCACACGGAGTCTTCTCCGTGTTTGCACAGCGGGGACAATACAGGTCTGACTCGAAGATGCCACCGACCGGGTAAGTAAACAAGGATCCCAGCACCCTGCCTGCGGGCAAGGGCTCAGCCCACGGGTCCGTTTGGCGATGGGGACTTTGAATAAGTGCAAACGCCCGGCCGGTGTGGCTCAGTGGTTGAGCACCGTTGACCCATCTACCAGGAGGCTGTCAGTTCGATTCCCAGTCAGGGCGTATGCCGAGGTCGTGGGCCCGATCCCCGGTGGGGGGCATGCAGGAGGCGGCCAGTCGATGTTCTCTCTCATTGATGCTTCTCTGTCCCTCTCCCTTTCTCTCTCTCCAAAAATCAATAAAGGAAAAAAAAGTATTTAAAATAAATAAGTGCAAACAGGCCTGTTCCTGCCCCGGGTCCCCAGGCTTTGGTCCCACCTGCCCCAGCCACCTTCTCTGCAGACCCCAGGTTGTCTGGGTCCTTGTAGGTGTGGGACCCCAAAGCAAGTCCAAGCTTGACGCTGGACCCCAGATGCCTCCTGGGCCCTCTGAAACAGACCCCTCCGCTGCCCTCACACCCCAGCTCCCTCTGCAGGCGCCATCCGTCACCCACTCAGGAGTTTGCAGAGCACCTGTCACGGGTGCTGGCCACAGGCTCGGCTATGAGAAAGGGACGGAGGCGCTGCCCTGGTCTACGGGGGGGGGGGGGGGCCCTCCAGGCACCACCACCACCACCCGACTCCCTCCCACCTCGGGACTGTGCCCCCTTCCCCCTGACCTCACCCCGGCCTGGGCCCCTCACCCCTTCCAGGCCTCCGAGCCTCCCGTCCTGACCCTGCATTGCTCTCCTCCCAGAAGCCTGAGTGATCTTTTATTTATTTAATTTTTTTTCTTTATTGATTTTAGAGAGAGGACGGGAGAGGGAGAGAGATAGAAACATTGATGAGAGGGAACATGGACTGGCTGCCTCCTGCACGCCCCCCACTGGGGATCGGGCCCACAACCTGGGCATGTGCCCTGACCGGGAATCGAACCGGCGACCTCTTGATGCAGGGTCGATGCTCAACCACTGAGCCACCCCGGCCGGGCCTCGGTGGTCTTTTAAAAACACAGCTGATCGTACTGTTCCTCCCTCCAACCCCGTTACACCTGCCATGACTCCCCATGGCCCTCGAAGCCCACAGTCGAAGCCCGGGCCCAAGCACGCGTCCGCACACGCCCTCCCGGGCTGCAGACCCAGCGGCCCCTCTCAGTCCCTCTAACGGGCCATGACCCCGACCCCACCCCATCTCGGGGCCTCCCGTGCCCGCAGTAGTGCTCGTGGCTCAGCCTGGAGTCCCCAGGAAGCCCACCCTGACCCTTCCCACAGGGCTGGGGGCCCGCCGGATGAGATGCCACTTGGTCCTCACCCGCTGCCTCCCGGCACATTCATGGGGTGATTAGTCGTACGATCATTGTGGACGATCCCGAGAGGGCAGGGCCAGAGCTCAGGACTACACGGTGCCTGGCCTGGAATCAGGCACGAGAGCTGTTGGTGGCCTGGATCGGTGCCTGTGGGCAGGGCCAGAGCCCCACAGGGACCCTCCCCCAACGTGGCATCTGCTGGTGCATCCTCCTAGCTGGAGCGGCCACGGCTGGCGGTGCCACTCACCCGGGCCGTCCCCGCAGCAGCAGCAGGAATGGTCCCCGAGCACGTCGGCCATGCCGGGCACCCTACATACGCACGTCCGCCCGGGCTTCCCAGCCACCCTGGGCCGGGCTGAGGGCGCCTTTTCCAGAGGAAACCCAGACACGGCAGGAGGCCTGGCCCAAGGTCAGCAACCAGGAAGCCTGGGCCAGGCCCACAGCCTGAGCGAGCTTGTGCCCATGATCTCCATCGGACCCTCACCCAACGCGCGCACGCGCACATGCACACACGCACACATTCACGCACACTCAC